AGATTGTCCATTAATATCAATCATAGAAATATTTGATTTTCTTTGTATTTTAATATTCTGGCTTTTGAGAAAATGATATGTTACAACACATTCAGAGGCATCAGTATCAATAATAAGATTGATTATAATTCTTCCAACCTTTGTATTATACCAGGCTAAAGTTGTTTTCACATTTTGATTCAACATTCTAGTTTTCTTTCTAAGATGAATTTGAGGTGGTTTTCTGAGAGCTTTTGACATTTTAATTCATTAGGTAGGTGAGGTTTCAGTTAATTGAGCCACTGTGATATTGGCTTTCATATTGATCAAGTCTTTAGCAATATCATATAGTATTACTTTTGTAGCAAAAACTATATATAATGGATGAAATTCTTGGATGATAAAGTGACTTTTTAACTTCAGCTCAAATTTCAAAGAAATCGATATATAATGTCTAGCGGAATATTCAAAAAGTTTCTTACTACTTGATTAAGTGCAAATGAAGTCAAAATACCTACTTTGCAAATTCAAGACTTTTAAGAAATAACCTGTATCAATTAGTGTAAGCTTATTAGTTTTAGTCTTGTCAGTATTGATCGTAGATGTCTCAATTTCTTTGTCAGCAAACTCAACAATCTGATATTTAATATTTAGTTTTTTACACATATATTTTACTGCTTTATTTTGCACAAATATTAATGTATTGTGATGTCATTCTACATGGTCTCTAACTGTATATGCATTATGTATCCTTTCAGATAGCTATTTATAAAAGCTTTTCATCTTCTTCACTATACGTTTACTATTAATTTCACTTGGATTCAGCCAAAAGTTCTGAAAAATTTCTAATATATTTTTATGATTATCGAGGTATCTGATCCACTTGGTCTCTTTCTTGATCTTCTTGAATATTCTTCAATTTTAATAATTTTCATTGTTCTAGAGATCAAATCTAAAAGTTAATAAACTATTCATAGTGAAAATAAATAATTATTTACTAATTAAAAACACCTCTAAGATGTATAACTCCTTTTAGTCTGAGATAATTCAGATTCAAATAATCCTGAGGAGGTAATATGAATAAAAACTTTATTGCTAAAAAAAATTTCAAGCACAATTTACCATATTGTTTTTAGTCACAGTTAGATCCTTAGCTATATTTACAATTGCAATCTCTTTGTCTTTGATCAGAGAATTCTTTTTTCAATTTTGATGAGGGAATTCATTTGTTCAATTTTGAAAAGCAACTTGACTCTTTGAAGTTTCTTTGTAAATATATACTTTTCCAAGAGCCAATTCAAGTTGTTAGCATCATTAGTAATAGAGACGAGCTGATGAGAATAGCAAGACAAGACAAGTGATGAAAGGTGAGCAAATAAAAAGTAAATAGACCTTTGCTCAATAATAACGGTATATTGCAAGTAGATCAATAATAATAACTAATCAAATATGATATATAACATCTAAAGTCATTAATTATATTTATAAAAATATATAAATTTCTTTACTAAAAAGTAAATACATATACAAAATTTAATTCATGAATATGCCTATTCTATTTATGAATTAAATTTTGTATTTACTTCCTAATAAAGAAATTTATCTATTTTATAGTTATGTATCATATATATACTTCTGAAAATGTGTGACAGATTACATAAAATATATTATTGTATCCTTTTCTGATCATTATCATAAAAACCTGAAAATAAGCAACTCTGAGAATAAGCATTTCCATTTTTAAAGATGCAAGAGTACATGTATTATGTTTTACTAAGAAATTATCCTCAAAAATAAGCTAACTTCAGTTTTTCAAGCCTAAAATCATACAAAAATAGGTTGTTTATTTTTGAGTTTTTACGATACAAACATAAGAATATCAATAATCAGTATTTCTTGTACTATAATTATTTATAAAATTTTAATTTAAAATTATTATTAACTTCTTATTTAATCTTTTTGGAATTAATTCTTATATTTTGATAATTAGAATTATAATAATTTTTTAACTTAATAATATTGAATTATATTTTTATTATTATTAGTTTTTCAAAAAAAAACTTGTTTTGTAATTATTATTTCAGTCTTTGCTAATATTACTTAATTGAAAAAGAATTATTAATATTTGTTTTATGAGTAATATTGAATTTATAAACTCAAATTCTTTAATTTATTAATTTATTCTATTTTTCATAAATAGTAAATATATTAATATTTTCAAGAAATTTTAAAATTAATTAATTTATTAGTAAAAAAATTATTTATAAATTCAAAATACTAACAAAAATCTGACAAAATTATAAAGTATTATAGTTAATTATTATTTTTTATTATAATTTTTGTATTAAAAAATTATTATTTTATTTTGTTAATAAATATTAACATTATATAAATTATTGTAATTTCTGAATAAATATTTAATTTTATTATAATTATAACAAATTGATAATTAATAATTGCAAGAATAATTCTAATTATTATTTCTTAATTAAAAAATGATTTTTTTTAAAGCTTTTAAAATTTTTAACCTATTGGTTAAGTTTTAAAATATAATTATAAATTGATTAAAATTGTTCTGTTTTGAATTTGATAATATATTATGATTGACTTTTTGAGTTAACTTTTTCAATATTTTTGGTTATATTAATAATATTTAATAATATTTATTCTAATTTATTTATATATTTCTAATTTCAATCTTATTTATAAATATGAATTTTATAATTTTTTAAGTATATATTATTTTTTTAAAATATATTGAATTGATTGATATATTTATTAATACTTCCAGTTTGTTAAAATATTTTCAATTCATTTTGTTATTATTTAATTTTATATAATGTTTAAAATTTCAAAACAAAATGATATTTAACATTATATTTATTTTGATTATTAATTATCCAGATATTTAAGATCAAAATATTATTAGTAATTCTTTAATTAAATTAGATAACAGTGATATTTTTCAAATATTTATATATAATTTGAATTTTTCAAGTATTAGCAATTCTATTAATAATTGCTACTTCAAAATTTTTAAGTTATTTAACAGGATATTAATTATTATTTTTGAACTTTCAGATTTATATATGATTCTTTTTAGTTTTTAGTTCAATATCAAAAGCAGTAATAAAAGCATTTAGTCTATTAAAAATATTATTTAAATTTGAATTGGCCATTTATTCTTCTTCATTATCTAATTATTCAAATATTTCTTTTTGATCAAAGTTTAAATAATTATTATAATCTTGATTATTAGATTTTTTTCTGTATTAGTTAAAATAATTAATTATTCTTGAAAAAGATTATTATTTTATTATTGTTTAACTAGTTTAATTTCTGCTTTTTTAATAACTATTTGTTGATCTTTTAGGATATATTCTGATTTAAAATAAAAGGAGAATTCATAATAAAGAAGGTTTTAACATGCTAATTGTCTACTGGTATAAAGCTTTTCAGAACTAAGAATATCAAACAACAAAAACTCTTTTACTTTGTTCTCATGCATCAGAAAATTTTTATGCTGGTAATTCAAATCTTATCATGTGGTTTGTCAGAAGTTCGATTTGCAGGAACTACCTTTAACAGATACTTATCTAAATATTAATTATAATCAATAAAAACTAAATATTCATTAATATTGACTACCTTTAATATAATTTATAATTCTCAAGAAGATAATTGCTGCATTTCGTGGTGCAAGAATGAGCACATAATAGGCATTATCGTTACTAAAATAATGAATTGACAAAATTTTTTTAGACTTACTTGATTTAGTAGTGAGATATGATCTGTGGAGCTTTTTACCCTAACTGTCGATCATTTTTCTGCAGAAAATGACAAAGCCCTCAAATAGCAGACGCCATAGAATAACCAACGACGTGGAAAAACGTCTAACGATTTATATTCGACAGTTACTACAGCAACGAACAGAAAATAATAGTGAGGTCGCTAAGAAACTAGAACTCAACACAAATACAGTGTTCGAATATGTACAACGAGTCGATTATAAGTTTAGGCGTATGAAGAAACTGCAGTTGGAGCAGCATATTGATAGTGGTAATTCTACTTAATTCAATGTGCGAACTATTTGATTCATTTATATAAAAATATTATCGAAAACAAATCGACATAGTATTAAAATCTGTTAATAAGCAACGAGAGGCTTCGCCCATAGAAGAAGGAACTGATGAAAGAAGGTTCGTGTGTCTCTTTCTCTCTCCCCTTTGTTAATCGTCACTTTGATGCTTAGAATATTAAGGTCAAACAAATACTTTTGATTTTTTTTAATTCAACACTCAATAGTGAGAATATAGATGATGAAGATAATGATGAAGATGTTGAAGATGAAGGTGACGATTCAGAGTTCGAACAACTTGAAGGTGTTCAGATGATGGAAGTAAAAGTATGCATGTTTATTAGTACATTATAATGAAAATTAATTTATATATCAATTAACTAATATAAAAACAATTAAATTAATCAGGACTTAAATTCAATGAACAATTCAATTACTCGTATATGGAATCAACGTGAAAATTCTACTCCATCAAATACTGTTATATTGGAGTCATCTACGAAACTATCATCATTACCTGTCACATCCTCTATGCCACATTCAACAATATCATTGTCGCCATCATTGGCATCTTCAATAACTAACGACAACAACAACGATAATAATAATTCATCTATAAATTTTGATTCATTGTCATTATCATCACAATATAACCATGACAATACGCCGATATCTCAAAAAATGGCAGCAGCAAATAATAATCATGAAAATAATTTTCAGCTTGGTAATAATATAGAGATTCAGAAAGAACAACAGCAACAAAAATTAGATTCCAGAAATAAACAAAAGTCTTCAAGAACTTTGTCAATTATCAATTACAATAATAAATCTATTAATAATCCGGGATCAGGATATAATTCATCATCGGGAAGGAAACGACTGAAATGTAATAAATCATTAATGACTAATTAGTCGATTTGTGAAGAAAAAAGATCTCATACCTATTCAATTTTATATATTATAGCAACTCAAGCCCTCTTAAATTCAGCGAAACTAAATAACCTTAACGATAATAGTAATAGTAATAATTCTTCCTCCCGAGGCAAGAATAATGCAGGACTGGACAACATATCTCTCAACAAATCAATAGCACCGTTACCAGCTGCACGATTATCAGACTTGGGTGGAGTTGATTCTTGTATTGAAGAAGTGTTGGAACTGATTGCTATGCCGTTGGCGCATCCTGAGATCTACTTACATACGGGTGTGCAGCCACCAAGGTAAATTTATTCGTTTTCGCGTGTGATAGTTTTTTTATAAAGAATAATAGATATAATTATTATGGTCATATTAGAGGAATATTATTACATGGTCCTCCCGGATGCGGGAAAACATTACTTGCGAATGCAATTGCAGGGGTAATTTAATCCATACCTATTTATGAGAAGAATATTACAAGTTTTAAAACAAAGGGTCGTTTTAATTCAGTATTTATCGACAAATTAGGAACTAGACGTCCCATTTATTAGCATTTCAGCTCCATCAGTGGTATCCGGCATGTCAGGCGAATCAGAAAAAAAGATACGTGAAATTTTCGAGGATGCCAAGGTAATTTGTAACTATTTATCTCAAATACAATTTTACATTTTTCAATATATATAATTTTTTGATATAAATTAGAAAACTGCCCCCTGTCTTATATTCATCGATGAGATTGACGCCATAACACCAAAACGTGAAACTGCCCAACGAGAAATGGAACGTCGTATTGTAGCACAACTACTAACGTGTATGGACGACCTATCCTGGGAAAAGACCGACAATAAACCAGTGTTAATTATCGGAGCGACTAATCGTCCGGATTCACTTGATCCGGCGTTACGACGTGCCGGGAGGTTTGATCGGGAGATTAGTATGGGAGTTCCAGATGAAGAGGGAAGAGAAAAGTAAGGGTGTTTGTTGTCTTTACGACTCGAATTGGAATTTATATATGTAGATGAACTTAAAATATGGTTATTCATTTTGTAGAATCCTCAAAGTCATCTCTAAAAAATTAAGACTATCGGGTGATTTTGATTTCAAGTCGCTTGCTAAACTTACGCCTGGTTATGTCGGAGCTGATTTGAATGCACTTACTGCGGCTGCTGGTGTGATTGCTGTAAAACGTATATTTCAGCGATTGGGCGAAGACGTTGACTTAAGAATGTCGTCTTCCGCATCGTTTTCCTCACAAAAATTTCCAAACAACGAAACCAATGATGCTATGCAAATAGATACTGAAGGCTCTTTATCATCATCCTCCATTAATCCAACTATCATTACCAATAACATCACTAGCCCACCACCCGCACCAACACAAAATCCCTTTGAAAAACAATCACCAACAGACCAACTACGCTTCATATCCGCATTTCTAAAATCACATCCCGATCCACTAACGCCCGAAGAACTAGAACCGCTCAGCATCAACAACACCGATTTCATCGAAGCGCTTGACAAAGTCCAACCTTCGTCAAAACGTGAAGGATTCGCCACCGTGCCGGATGTGAGTTGGTCCGATATCGGAGCACTGTCGTTTGTTCGAGACGAACTGAGGATGGCGATTGTTGAACCGATTAAGTGGCCTGATTTATTTGAACAGGTGGGGATTACGGCTCCGGCTGGTGTTTTGTTGTGGGGGCCACCGGGGTGTGGGAAGACGTTATTGGCGAAAGCTGTGGCGAATGAGAGTCACACTAATTTTATTTCAGTGAAGGGTCCAGAATTGTTGAATAAGGTATTTTTTTATTTATCGAATTGTTTTTATATAAAAAAATTTTAAAAATATGATATTTATTATTTAGTACGTGGGAGAAAGTGAGCGTGGAATACGACAATTGTTTGCACGCGCTAGAGCATCTTCTCCGTGTGTCATATTTTTTGATGAGTTAGATGCGTTATGTCCACATCGTGATGAATCAAAGGTATTTGTCATTATTATTATGTGCATACAATTCTTTATTAAAGATATTGAGAATAATTAATGTTTCTTCAAATGTGTACTTGTTATATAATACTTTAGTCAGAATCCACGTCACGGGTAGTAAACACTTTACTTACAGAATTGGATGGCTTGGAAAGTCGTCGACAAGTTTACGTGATTGCTGCGACAAATAGACCAGGCAAGTATCCGTCAAAACAACAATACTAAAACTTTATTTTATTTTGTTTTATTTTACGCTTACAGTATATAAATAACATATATGTACCAAAAAAAAACTACAGATATCATCGACCCGGCAATGATCCGCCCTGGCCGTCTCGACAAACTTTTATATGTCGAACTACCCACCCCCGCAGAACGGCACGAGATCCTGAAAACGCTAACTAAAAAGACGCCGTTGTCATTGGATGTTGATTTGAAGAATATTGCGGAGGATTCGCGGTGTGAGGGGTTTAGGTTTGAATTAAATTTTATTTATTATTTGTTCGGGGTTTTTATGAATGTATTTTTATTTACGATAATTTATTTATAAGTGGTGCCGATCTAGCATCCTTAATTCGAGAAGCAGCGGTTTCGGCATTACGTGAATCAATATTTTTCGATTCTGATAGTAATGGTAATAAGAACAATAACAAAACTATATTAGCAATAACATCATCATCTCAATCACAACTCACAGCAACAACACCACTTTACGTCACTACAAATCATTTTTTAATGGCATTCACTAAAGTCGCACCTAGTGTCTCAAAACCGGATAAACGGCGTTACGAGGCGTTACGTGTAAAGTTTGGTGGTGGGTAGTGTATGATGGACAATGACAAAAAAAATATACGGTCAAGGCTGGATTCCTACCACAAAAAACAAACCAAATCCGGTGTACGATCATTTTATTTAATGTAATCAGTGTCTTATAATCAAATCATGCATTTCTAGATTCAGCGTAATCATTCTTTTTTAAAAAAAAATATAAACAATCATTGGAATTTCAGAGACACTCTCTTCAGTGTGTTGCAAGTTTTTGAACAAAAATTAAAATTAGTATTTTGTAAAATTATCTAAAAAATTAAATTTATATACTTTAATTTAAGATTACTTGATTAGAAATCTTAGAAACATTTTTAATTTTATTTTTATCACAAAACGTTTAAAAAATTATAGCCGTAAAAAAATAAAATTTATATTTTTTTAATAACTTTTTGATAATATAATTGGGACAGATTGCAACAAAACCAGACAAAGTGAACATTTGATTATGTGATATAAATAAAAGATTGATTATAATGTGGCTGTAAAATTAATCAGTGTGACTGATGACATTTTGCCTTGTTAATTTAATGTTCACTTTATCATATCAGAATGTGATGAATATAAATCATAATGTGATGAATATAGGACAATCTCTATATAAAAATATTAATTTACATTAAATTCACTATAAAATTCAAGTATTATAGCACAATTAGAAACATTCTAAAAAAGAAACAATTATTTCTTCAATTTCAATCAAGATCATTTTTTAGTTTCTTTAACTTCAATTTGAGCAATTTGATCATTTTGTTGCTTTTTTAAGTGCTGGTTTTCTTCCTTTAACTTAGTAACTTCAACTTCTAGTTCTTTAATTCTCTTTATTTTCTCATCATCTCACTTCTTAGATTTTTCATGAAATTTGGCTACTTTCTCTTATCCTATTGTTAAAGCCTCTTTGATAGAAGATAGTTTTTTTCTAGTTCTTGAGTTCTCTTTTCTAAATGAAAACTGAAAGATTGAGAAATTAATTCTTTTTTAATAAGAGATTGTGATTGTTCCTTTACTTTATGGCAATAGCAAAATCTCTTGTTTCTTTTTAACCTATCACATTTTTTATTGTCATATTTTGCTTTACATTCTTTACAAATAAAAATATATCAAAGTAGAGATATTAATCAATCCTTAAAGATCAAGTTCTGAATGATCTTTTAACAGGATGATCACGGTCTGATCCTAATTTTAGAAAATTTCGATCTCACGATCCCACTTAGTCATGTGATTAATCATAAGACCGAGTCATGTCTAAGAATGATCTGAGATAATTTGTAGGATCATCCTAGATAATATTAATATATAGTAATATAATAGTGTCATTTTGCTATTCTTGCTCTCATCATGAAATTTTAAACCAGGTTGACAATCAATTATCAACTGAGAATTGATTATCATCGATTAGAAAAAATCGATGGTAATCGATTTTTTTTTATCAATCGATTGCCAACCAAAATCGATCACCA